GAAGGTACAACTTCCACCATGAGGAGTACTTCTGGTCAATGGAAGACGCGTCGCTTTTTGGGTTGCCACCGGAGGATTCTGAGCTGGAAGTTCTGTTTTGGGAGTTTTTCAGCTAGATCATCCGAGATCAGGATTCATGCTTGGCGTTCCGGGTGGCCTCCCATGTCAGCGCTTGGAAGCACAGGGTCAAGAACGGATCGATGACTGCAACTCGATGCATCTTTGTGGACAGGGAAGTTTGCCAGTACACGTTTCTTTTCATGGCACGATTCAGCCGAGGCATCATCTTATGTGCCCTGCCTTTTTGGAGTAAAAAGTTTTTGGCCCCCCCAAGTTGCAGAAGAGTGCTGGGCTGAGGCGCAAAGGGCTCGACAGCTCATGCACGCTGGCGCCCAAAAGTTGAAGGTGTTGCGCGTTGCGCTTCTGAGTGCGAGCTTTGATCCTGCTGCCTGGCATGATTATGTTGGTAGCAAGAAGACCTTGGAGCACAGTGGAGCCAATACAGTCGGGATCATGTTCTGGAGATCCGCTGTAAACAGGCAATTGTGATGTAGGTCCTTCCATAATTTGAAAGTTGCAGCCAGCTACTTGTGACGGGTCGATGTAATCTTCTGTACATGCCTTGGCTACGGTTTGGCGTCGCTGTGCACAAGTGTATGAGATCGGTGAACTTATAAGGCAGCGACGTGGAGCCAAAGCAGTTCCGTGCCAGGCTTATTGGAACGTGCAGGCTTACTCGTGAGTCGCCTGCACCTAGAGCGGGCTGGAGAGAGAGGCGCAGAGAGGCCCCCGGAAGCAAAGCCAAAAGATAGGTAGAGATGCGGGGGCATGTGACTGTCTGGCAGAGCTGCACGGTGGGCGGGGGGTTGGGAGAAGAAGAAGAGGCGATGGGACCAGACAGCCATAAGCTAACTCTTTCTGACCAGTTTTTCCTTCTGTTCCATCCTAACAGGGAACTCATGTTAGGGGCCAGGGGGTCAAGCCCCGATGCGACCCTGACTCGCCTGCGACATGCAGAAGAAGATGGCCTGCCTCAATGCCCGCGCATGGGGAGCGTGAGCGACACAGGGAGCCGCGGCGAACTCCCCCTCACCCCAGCAAGGCACAGCAAAAAAAAAGAGAGGGCATTTCAAAACGACACGATCTTCACGGGCTTGCAGCAGGTAATGCGGTGTTGAGGTGCACTGCCGGCCTCGCGACAGGGAAACCATGCTCCGCACATTCTACGATGACTGGGGCTGAGTGGTTGGTTGATGACCACAGCGATCGGCCTTGGAAAATGTGACGCGGAGTGGAAGAGCGATGTGCTTGTGACAGGGCTCCCGTGGAGTTAAGGGTATCAATAGGACTGGGAGTTGTGGAACAAAAATTCGGAAGGATGTATAGTAGGGACACCAAGATGAAGGGCCTTACTCGGGGCCCATACTCCTAACCTTGGGTCAGGGGACCACTTCAATGTGTTGCTTTGAGATCTTGAAGTGGCATCGTGAGGCTGCAAAGGCTCCAGCATGACCACGACAACAAAAGCTGCCATGGCTACCTCTAGGGCAATCAGCAAGCATCGTGAGCTATGCCTATGCCCTGTTCTTGGAAAGAATCATAGCATGGACTAAAGGTGCTAAGTCCCAATCTTTTATAAGTACCTGTTCGTCTTGTATGTCGGCGTGTCCTTGCTTGTGAACCTTTCTGCTAGACAAGCTGATGAGATCTGGTGAGAAGACACCAGCACGGAGAATGAACATCAGCTGGACTTCAGCCAGGATTGACGCTCTTGACTCAGTAGATGCCAGTGGAAATGCAATGGCGCTTCCTCATATGGCTGCTAACTGGTGCAGCACGGAGTGCGCGCCCAGAGGCACAACATGACAGCAGCCTATTATTTTGGAGGTGTAAGCTGTGCTCGTCATGTTTCACATATAATTTGGTGTTATATACCCGTAGCAGAGGCCCGGCCGAGTTCTGAAATTGCCTTTAGGCAAGTTCCTCAGATGTCAAACCTGCCTCAATCCTGAAAGGTTCAGATGTTGGGACCCAAGAGCTTCAGGAAGAAAGATTGTAATCCGTGATGTGAGGAGTGTTTGAATTCATCGCAAAAATGACATGGTAGTTTGGTCACAGCAGCAAAATAGTTCGACGGCAAACATAGGGCTGAGTTAATAGATGGAACTGCTACATGCTACATTCGGCACATGAGGAACATGTGCATCTTGAACCGTAAGCTCTGAAATCTAAACCCTGAACTCATCCGTAAATACTAGGTACAACTCCAGCATTTGCCACTTGCATTTTCTGTGTGCTGCAACCCTGAAGCTTAAATTCTAAACCTGAAGCCGCAAGTATGTCGCTTGAAATAGACCCTATGCAATCCTTAAAAAATGGGGTGCCGCTGCTTTGAGAAATCAACTGGGTACTGCCCCGACCCAGTGAGAGTGGGAGAAGAAGTTACATGTTCATATGTTGTGCCTAATATTAACCCTCACTGAGTGCCCTAAACCCGCTAGGCTTCGGCGCCCACAGCCACCGCGGGCGTGTCGGGGCAACGGTTCTCTGGAGAGGCTCCCTGCTACTAGGTTAGGGTTTTTTTGAGCTATCGTCTGAACTCCGTAAAGCTGTTTGTACAGCGAATTATGACAGCGGACTACTTTCAAGGTTATTAAGGGCGAGACTAAGAGTGTGGATTCTAGCTGAAGAGAGAAATGGACTAATGGAAATCACTTGTAGGCATGGGCTTTAGGTAGGCTTTAGAACTGTAGGGAAAGAATCTCAGAGGACCGCAGAGGCATTTATGGGTATAAGGGGACCCCAATATGGACCCCAATCTACTATAGTCCTTACCATGGGGACCCCCAGTATGGTACCCCTAATTATGGGAACGTACGAATTTGATGAGGCCAGCTTTCGTAAGTGAAAGCTTCGTACCATGGGGCCGAAGATCGGGGAGTTATGGATGTAAAGGCTGGCGGGGGCGGCATTCCAGTCGTCAAGCATTTTCTTGAGAGGGCTAGGATTTTGGGTTTTTAGATATTTGAGAGCGTGTTTGGGGTACCTTAGGGGGCTTAGGAGGATTCTGCCTGGGTCACTTTCAGCTGGTATACCCTTTGAAGCCTACTGTGCTGAGGCTCTCAAAATTTAAGATGCCACCACTTTCATGCAGAGGAATTAAAGACGTCAAAGGCTGGGAAACTGTTTTGCCGCAGTTGATTGCTGTGTTGCGAAGGAGGCCCCCATGCCCCATGCCTTCCAGTTTCCAGCAGCCGCAACCCACCAAAATGTTCAACCTACCTCAAATCGTAATCCAAGTCTTCGTATGAAATCCAGCACACTGAACACCAGGCATGGAATCCCATCAAGAGCACGGAAAACCGCCAAATCGGAAAAGATCGCCCTGAACCACCCCAAAATCCCCTTAAACCATTGGCATATTGAATTCCGCGCCCGTCCAATAGCTTCGGCATGCGTTTTACGTCGCAAACCTTTCAGATTGTCGCAGCAGTAGCTAAGAGCACTACTCGTAGCACGCCATGATTACATTTGGGATCATTACAAACATGTCCACCTTGCACAGAGCACCTGACTTGGCGCAGGCCTTCCGAGACCTGCCCCGCGAGGAATTTCGCAGCAGGGCTGAAGTTGTAGGATTCCGGATTTTGAGTTTCCGCAGGGGCTCCTTGCAGGCAAGCTTCAATTACCAACTTAGGGTTCTTTTTTGGGCGGGGGCCCCTTGTCCAAGAAGGGCCTGCAATTCTGGGAAAGGCTATCTGCCCGCTTTGTTTGTGTTTTCTTCTTCTATCTTCATAGGGATGGCTCATGGTTTGAATGCAGGCTAGCGGGCTGAGCAATGATGATAATGACTGATTACGTCACTGCGTAGGCTCCTGGGATATTTAATGTTTTCCCCTTAATAGGGGACCCTATATATTAATATAATGATTAATTACGTCAAAAAGAATAGGAAGCAGAGTAATTGAAGTAATTGTAATAACTGCCGGACGGCCCATAAGATGGCGTTTATGATATGGGAGTCTGTCAAATGACAGGAAGGCCCGAACCATCCCATTTAAGTTAACAATAAAATCAAACGCTAGAGCATCAGAAATTCTTGAGGGGCACCCCCTCTGAGAAATCCTAAGCTCCGATCTCCAGCCGCTTCTGCAATGTGAGTGTTGGAGCCCTCTATAGGCCGTTGTTTGCAGATGGCGAAGTAGAAGCCACACGCCTCATTTGGGGTTGAGGGCCTGGGGTCTAGGGATTATTCCCATTAGGAAGGATGCTCCATGCAAAGACCCAACCAGATTAATGACAGGATTGCTTTTTCGTTACACTTTGGGTTCGCTTGTAGTGATACCCTACACCCTAAACCCTACCCCGAGCAGGTTTTGAGACCCCATTGCCCAGCGTAGGCCTCTGATGAATAAGACCTATTCCACAATAAAATGATTGAAGTAAAGAATGGAGAATCAAATGGGAAGAGAAAATGGAAAATGAAATGGAAGCCACCTTTTTGGATATTGTGATCTTCATGATTGGGTCCTCATGCCACAGGGGTTATCCATCAGGGCCTTCAGTTTCATTTTCGTTTTCACCTGGGCAAACTAACATGGGACCACCACAATGGCTACTTTTTCCCTTGCACCGGGTTCCGCGGTCTACAACAAGCCCCTTGGGGAAGTGTAGGCCCCCTTGAGTCCTGCGAAAAGCACCAGGCTTTGCGGGAATACGCCGGAGCGACCTGAAGGAAAGGAAAGCAGCCGTGGGATGCTATGGTAAGAAGAAGAGCAAGAAAGGAATATAGTCCCCCTTGGGTAGACTGCATATGTCTTTGGGTATATTATAATAAGATCCCCATATATCCCACATTTCATCTGCTTAAGGGGGACTACAGACTTGAGGAAAAGGGATTCTGTTCGCAGCTGATGTGTGTTGTTTCTGCTCGGGTCAAAAGCGGTTCACTCATTTAACTAGAATGTTCTCCAGCATCATGTTAGATCCTTTTTTGGAGCATGTCGTCAGCTGGTGGTTGGGTGGTTGGGACAGTGTGGGTCATTCTAAAATGTCTGAAGACTTTTACCCTGTACTTGAAAATTGCAGATGCACCTGCCCGAGGATTCATGACCACCTGATGAGATCCGAGGATAATTGGCACTTTCTTAGGGAGCAGGAACATGTTTCACTCACGATATCGTAATTCTGGGGTGATCGCGTAGAGTTGAAAGATGTTGAGTCAACGTGGAGGCTCATTGTCTGTTTCTACTGTTGTGCGCTGCGTTCCCAAGCCCAATAGCTTGTTCCCATTCCACAAGCCTGATTCATTCAGTCTGTCAGATGCTAGCATGTGTTTTTAGAGGCGCTGCGTGACGAGAAGCAGTGCGACCGCTGGATTGTGGTGACCTCCATATTTCAGCCGTCGCCGGCAACAAGGACCCAGCATCACAGTCGAATCAGGCGATGAGATTTGGAAGAGTTACTCGTAAATTTTTTCTGGGGTCTCCTTGGAGCCGAACACTACCACGGCCCAAGTTGAGATTCTCGTTCCGGCGTCGGTATTGGGTGGTTGAGTCTTGCCTGCGGCCAGGAAACTGGGAGAGATGACGAAGCAAGGCTTCTGGCACAGCAAGTCCGCTGAGGTATGTTGCCATCCGCTGTCCATCATTTATCATGCAACCCAAGAAGTCTCCGATATCCGATAAGCTTGCACCATGTAACTTGCAGCCGGGTGCTGTGGATGATTTTGCGCGCGTGGCTCTGTAACCAGAAATGCGGTTTCAATATGCCTTTGCCGCATCCAGCATGTTGGGCTGCCTTCCTTCACAAGCTCTGGTCAGCTGCATCGTTTCGCCCAGTTTCCAGCTCTCAACACAAGCTGGAGCGAGGTTGGTGTTATGTGGTTGTGGCAGACAAGAACGGCCCAAAGGACTACGATGATGTAGAAGGTGCCACGGCATATGGACGTGTGGGATTGCTGAGCCACAAGCAATTGCCAGCTACGCGTAGCCAAGCATGAAATCTTGGTTTTCGTCAAAGGGCTGTTTCATCCAGAGATGGTAGGCCGCAATCCTAGATGCATCCGCCCGTAGAGAAGCCCGGCTATCTCCAAAATCTGCTTGAAGAAGTGCTCTGTATGCATGGGCTCTTTAGTGTGGGCATGGCTAAGCAGCAGTGGCTGTGGCATGCTACATTTCCTTCCAACCTCCTTCAGGTGTCATCTACCTCACTGTGGAGCGTTCGGCTCCCGGAATAGGGTCATGTTGTGCCGAGCAGGGTTGCTCTTGCTATATATGCAGGCCTGCACAGGATGATGCTTGCGTACGAGGGGTTCGTTGTGGGTTGGTTGCAGCAGCCGCAGCAGCAGCAGCAGCAGCAGCAGCAGCAGCAGCAGCAGCAGCCGCATGCAACAACAGCGGCAGCAGCACTGTAGCTGTGGTAGTCGTTAGCTCGGGTGCCGAGGGCCTTCCTGGGGTGCAAGGACCTCAAAGTCAGCTCCACAAATCGAAGTGCAGAATCCCCGAACCCCAAAGGAAGCAACGACCCTCGTCCAGCATTCAACCTACCAAAGATGGTTCTTCCTTATCAGGTGAAGTCTCCCCAAGTTTCCTCAGAAACCCAAAAGGGTTCCAAGTTGTGTATTTCAGCCAAAGCTACTTTGGCCCAAAGATGAAAAAGACGTCAATCCTCAAGTCAAAAGTGGAACCTGGTATTTGTACAATTCCTGGCCCAACACCACAATGATTGCATCGTTCTAGCCGTTGCGGGCCACCCGCAAGATTTTCTATCATCGCCAGAAGTGTGGCGCGAAACTGCTAATCACAAGATTTATCCCGCAAACTGGCATTTTCTCCTCGAAGGAAAGCGGCTGTAGGGGAAGAACCCTCGAACTTTGATCCGCCCGGATCCCCAAATTCTAAAGTTCAAAGGCCAGCGGGCTCTGCACTTCCATATAATGGACCACTTGCCCTGGCGCCACTTTGGGCGGAAGAACGCTGCTGGTCGGCACAAATGATGAATTCTGCGGCGCGGGGACGTGGGTGAGAGTTTTTCAAGTCACTCCGCATGTTGTTCTTGTGGGACAGGAGGGTATTCTTCTTTGATGAGTATGTGATGCCCGGGGGGTGGGTGCCTTGTGGGGGTTGCGTGATGTATCGTGATGTACGGCAGCCCCTTGTCTTGTTTTTCGGCAAGACACCGATCAAGGTAAACTGCTTAACTCACTCCTGTCCAGCGATAGGGTTTACGCTGCGATCTAGGAAAAATGCAATGTCTCTGGGGTGAGAGCGGGACCCCGCCTAGAAGTATTCATTTAGCCATGGACAGCATATAGGCTTAGGCCCAGGTAGTCACCAAGCGCTTGCTGCGATTGAGGTGGGCTTTCTGTACGCAATCGCGCGGCTCAGCTGACAGTTGAAAACCCTCCTGCTCGTGGGGTTCCAGGATCTGAATGTTTTCTTCCGGAGTTATGTGTCATGTTGCGCATAGATCCCAACTATCTACTACTCTGAAATGCTGATGTTTCAAACCCTGAGTTTTCTGTTTGTGTGCAGTCCTGTCAACCCTCATTTTGTAAGCAGTGTTAAAGGTGTGTTTGTTCGCAACCCTGGCCCAGGCATGGAGCGAAGATCATCTATGACACAGATGATGACAATCGTCTCAAGGATTGCGTCAACTGGGCTTAGGGCATCTTAGGGCTTAGGGCTTAGGGTTTAGGTTTTTGGGTGTAGGGCTTAGGGTTTAGGGTTTAGGGCTTGGTCAGTAGTAGCTAAACATGTGTATGCAATGAGATGCACTTGTTTGGGGTTCTGGGAGCACTGTCTCATACCGTGAAGGATTGGTTGGAAAACGGGGCAGCTTTGTAGATATTTGCGAAGCAAGGAACCGGGAAGGGAAACTGCCTGAATATCAGGGACACCTGGGCTTTGGACACCGTCAGAGACGCTCAAAGCCTTCCTTGTGCGGTTGGACTGCAGACATGGAATGTTGTGGATTGGGACGCCTTTACCTTGTGAGCAATGTGCTGTGCCCATGTTTCTGTTCTATTGGTTGCAAAAGGTCGGTAATCTTTCGGACGTTGTCCTTTTTTGCAGGACCTGTTGTTTGTCGGCTGTCTCGCCTTACGTTTTGCTTCAGCCATGTGACTGTTGAGCTCTTCGCAAGATCCTAGACGCTAACACCCTGATTCTCTAGCAACTGAAGCCGGGACCATCCGAGACCCTAATGCCCCACCGACACCCTCACGCTCTAAACCCGACCATTAAACACTCTGCGTAAATGCTCACGCCTAAGCCCCAGTACCTCAAACCCAAATGGTAGTTTCCCAAAATCAGGGGACCCCAATATAGACCCCAAAATACTGTAGTCCTTATTATGGGGACCCCCAAAAAGGTACCCCTAATTTTGAGACAGCCCCCAAATGTGGAGGAAGCGCGGATACCCATCCTTGGCCTTGATGAAGCGGCCGCCCAATTTCTTCCATCTAAAAGTTTGCGGTTCATAGAGGGAGCGTATGTTAGGGTTCTATAAGAGTGCCAACCCCAGACATGTACTCTGGCAGCGTAAGCTTGGTGAAAATCTTGGGCTTTTTTATATCTAAATAGAGAAGGTTCTACAGGAATGGCATAGATAATCGCCCTTCACAAAAGCTCTGCAAAGACAAAGCAGTTGGATTTCAAGGCAATTCTATCTGAGTTGACTGGTGCTACAACCGCTTCACTCTTGTCTTTGTGAAGTATTTGCTGGTGTCATTTGAAGCATGAGATGGATGCTGCCCGGATAGCTGACAAGGTGGAGTAGCTCAAGCTGTCGGCACTGCTTCATTTTGAAATCAAGGATGGTCCGGAGATCAATGTGTCCCGACCGGATGTGGGAGATGTGGGCCACGGCTTGCACCTTGGAAAGAGTTCTGATTGACCTTAGCTTCACGAAAAGAAGCTTAATACCATGAGCTCCTACGTCCTACTTGTAGCGACTAAGGTTTTGCAATGACTTCTAAAGATCTTCAAGGCTAAATGGCAGAACCAGGCCATTGTCCTGGCACAGAGGGATCTTGCACTTGCACAGAAAGCTCAAGCGGCAGCAGAGCTTCCAGCAAGCAATTTTAAACATAACCTGTTCACTGACTAGAGTACAGTTGTTTGAGCTGCGTATTCTGGATTAAGAGGCTTAGCGGCCAGGTGGTTGTTGCTCGGTAGCAGCTGCACCTTTGGCCGAGGACCTCTCACCCGGGCTTGCTGAACCCATACCCCAGCTTCAGGCACGTGAAAGATGTGCGCCTTGAACACACGAACGCAATGGCACTTTTGCAAGATAATCTTTCCTCTGCAGGCCCCTATGATGCGATCTTTTTGTGTGGGTGGTTCTGTACAGGGCCCAGGGTTTAGAGCTCATGGTAAAGAGTTCATTGCTTGCAGTATCAAGCAATCAGTTTGGCCTAGCAACAGCACCAGCTGATCAAGAATCCGCAATCTCTGAGGTCTCAGAATTTCAAACCAGCAGAGGCAGCACATCTTGTGTAAGGAGATAGTTTGCGAAAGCATGTATGATACAAAGCAGTAGCAAGTCACAATATTTCGTGGCTTTCCAGAACAAGGAGGGGACTCATGACTGCGCCCATGACCCAGTTACCGTAGCACGGTTAGCTGTACTTCGGGCTTAAGTACTGTGTTGAAGATACTCTTGGGGCGAGACTTGCTTGGAAGTTGGAGCCCTGCTTGCAAGGAGGTCTGAGGTCTGGGAGGTACTTCCAGGGTGAATCGCTTGGAGAACGTTGATCCAATGCCTTCCAAACGCTGTTGGCAAAAATTTCCCAGTTCAACTCCGAAAAGGGCTTGCTGTATGCCGTAGGCCCTAGGTTGTCACCGAAAATGATTTCGTGTGACCTTCAGAGTCTCGCCAATGCTTACCCTTTAGCAAAAATCCAAGATCTCAGAACCCATCTCCACATGAGCTACGGTCCAAACTCCTTAAAGGGGATTAGATAAGGGAGTATAGAGGGACTATTAATTATAGGGAGTACGAAGGGGAAGGCTAGGAGTTTAGGCTATGGCTCATATGAGTAGTATTTTATTTGGGGATATTATGGTTCCCAATATAGAGTAAGATTATATCCTCCTTTTGGGGCATAGTATTTTATATAAAGAATATAATCTTACTAGGTTCAACCACCAAAAAAGCACAACTCATATGTTCTTTGGTGGAGGCCGACCTGTGGCCACATTTGGCCTCGCGGCTTTCCTCTGGATTTCGTCCAGTCGCCGCAGACCTACAACCGATCGCTGGTGCCCGCGCAATCTGGCAAGCACAAATCAGTAACGAAAAAGCCGAAGAGTAAAAGCACCAGCAGGAGTGCTACTTGTAAATTTTGATGTCTTGACCATGGAGTGGTGGCTGCCGATATGGTGGTGTTGGCGTTGTTGTTGGTGGTGGTGGTGGTGGTGGTGGTGGTGGCGGCGGTGGTGGTGGTGTTGTGTTGTTGGTGTTGGTGTTGGTGTTGGTGTTGGTGTTGGTGTTGGTGGTGGCGGTGGCGGTTGTGGCGGCGGCGGCGGCGGTGGCGGCGGCGGTGGTGGTGGTGGTGGTTGTGGTGGTGCCAGTGTGCTGCTGCTGGTGGTGTTGGCGCTGCCGGTGCTGGTGCTGGTGCGACGGGGGGATCAGAGGTGATGGTAGTGCTGGTCGCCTCAGTAACAGTTAACGTAGTAGTCTTGTTCAGTCAAGTTCCCAGTTGTCTGGCAATATTTCATGCTTTAGAAGGACTGCGGGTTTTTCTGAATTTTTCAGGTTGGGAAAGGTTTCCAGGCTCTGTTCACAGTCAGTCGGAACAGATTGAGAAGCCTTTTTCTCCTCCCAAGATTTGTTTCAGGACTTTGAATCCGTATAAAATCCTCTTCAACACCAGTGTCCCTGTCATTTCTATTTTCCATTTGAATCCCCATCATTGGGGGGTAAGATCCATGTTGCCACAATCTGTGGAAGCCTTGGGCCGAGCGTGGCATTTCCATCCTTGAGGCAGCTTAGCCGCCCTCCAGCCATCCAGCAGTTCCTGGCCGATGAGGATCCGGCCAGGTGCCCAGTGAAAGGGTTTTCGCCTGGGTGCAAGAGTTTATTGACAAGGGGGGTTTAGTCTTTTGGGGTCTCTTCATTTTGCAGACACTACCCTCTACGATGAGACACAGGTTGGTTCGAAGTTACATGCTAAAGGTCAAGGGAGGCCCCTATTCAAATCTTGAGACTTATGTGGATAGCCTGAAGCGCCCATCTCAACCGACGCTCAAGCGCCCCAAGCCTAAATCCACCCCAGGGTTGGCAGGAATTTCAGATTTTGGCTCAGACCAATTCCCAGGACGTAGACGCCATCTTCCGACTGACGCGCCCCCTTCCTTGCTCTTTCCGAGGCCGCAGAATTCTTCCGATAGGTGTTCGGAGCAAGGATCGGGGCCGGGATGTTTCTAAGTCAATCTTGATTTTGAGGTACTCTTCGGTTGTGTCGTGTGAGATTTTTTTCGGGGGTTTGAGAGGGTGGCGAAGCGCGTTTTGAGACCCAGCCTATTTGTTGCTCAGTACGCGGCATCATGCATTTCAATCGTACTTTGCGTTTCTCCAGTGGCGATGGGCGTGGTTGAAGCGAGAATGCGGCGAAGAAAAACTCCGCACCCTAAGCTGCCAGGAGAAGGTCAGCCGGAGGCGTTTGCGGTACCTCCCCAGCTGCCAGAATGAAGCTGAGATTTGAGGAGATCCAGTGCGCTTCAAGATGTCAAGTCCACATGTTTGGGCCACTGCATAGGGGGTACTATACCGGGACATTTCGTAAACTGGTATTTTACCGGGACATTCCTTTTCTGGTCATGGGGACGGAGTTGCTATGCTTTCACGGAATCCTCCAAGGTGGGACGGGTTGGGAAATGCTGCATTCTAGCTTGAATTCGGCAACTCAGGTTCTTCACACCGTACAACGCGCAGTGTACAGTGCACTTGTACGTGGCTTGGACGGCACTGTGGTGTGCACTGGCAAATTACCATGCTCTTTTTGAGTAAAACGATTTGAGTGGTCCAGCCGAGGTCATCGTCCTGCATGACTACATATCTTGGTAGAAGGTTCCCTCAAGTTTGCTTGAGCAGGAAAAATTGAAGGAAAGCATGGTCAAACACAGAACTTCCAACCAAGCAGAAAGCTTTAAAGTGGAAGTCCAAGCTGCATCTGACACCTAGTTACCTACTGGGTAGGCCCCTGGGATATTTGATATTTTCTCTAATGGCTTGAATAGGGGACCCTATATACTAATATTTTTCAATGGGTTTTTTAGGGGCCACCCTAGCCTAGTTCCACTTCCAGCTCCAAATCGATGAAGATGCTGAAGCAAAGAGGTGTTTCACAGGGTAACTGCATTGCGTACGTGGTTTTGGGTTTTGCGGGAACTCCATGAGCTCTGAACCCTGAAGCCTCCAGGAAGCCTTCTGGGGCTTGCTCCTGCCAGTCACGGTCCATGGGCGTGTCTCTGACATTTGGCGCGCTTATTTGGCGCAGAAGCTTCTTTGGGATGCCCTTTGGCGACAAAAAATGGCAAAGGGCCTACCAGGAAGAGGGTTGTGCTGCTTGTTGTGGGGGCGGGGCGAGTGTTTCGAATGGGTCCAGAGTCATGTTCTGCCCTATCTGCCTTGCAGATTGTATATTAAGATCGCAGAAATTGTGAGGAGATCCCCATTTTGGACAGTTCTGGCGACTGTCCTCTTTGTACAAGAAGGAAGGGGTCTTCTTGAGCTGCTTGCCAGGGCTCCTAGGTCCGAAGGGTGGTTTACAGTCCCAAGAAAAGATACAGCGTCTGTGTGCAGAACGTGGTTTCATGACTTGACTGGCTTGACCTTCGTTGAAGGGATTTTTATAGGATCCTAAAGGGGGGGTGATTCAAGGGGGAGGGTACAAGGGAGCCTTGGGGAAGCTTAGGGAAGCTTAGGGAGTATAAGGGAATAATGGGGATTACTAGGTTACCTACCCCGCTTGGACCACCCCCCCTTAAGGACATCCTAAGATTTGGCATGTAGAGTACTCATTCCGTTGCAGAAGTGAAGGGGCGCAGGTGGCAGGTAGCAGGTGAAATTTGGCTTTGAATGCCACGGGACTATCACAGCCCAAAAACCACCCTATGTGACGCTGAGCCCCTTGTCTCAAGCAACCTCCACGCCTGAAAGCCCGAAACCTTAATCCCCCGGCCCCACACTTTATTGGGGTTATATATGGATAATGGATAAGAAAATGGAAAATGTTATGATATAAGGGCTATATTGGGGTTATATAATTCCCAATCTTAAGCCCGAAGCCCTAAACCCTTACCCCCGGAAACCTGCCACAGGTTGGCCAGGTGGTCACATTCATGCCTCCCCATGTCGTGCACGACCGCGTGGCGCACGACTACCTGAAGGACGGTGCATTACTTACCGGTGGTTAGTAGGAGGACATATTTATGTAAGGTTTAGGGTTTAGGGTTCAGGGTTAGTAGGGAGTAGGGAATAATGGAAAAGAAAATGGAAACTATCATACAATATTAGGGTTATTTAAATAGGGATATTGTACTTACCGGTGGTTAGCAGGGAATGAGGGATCATAATCAATCCCTGTATGAAATATTCCGTTTTTAATTTTCAATTACCTGCAAGATTAGGCATATTTCAGCCCAGGTGGCAGTTTCCTCGAATAGAGGGGAATGGATGTAGATTCCCAGATCCTATAGCCCTTCTTATTGGGATTCCCAAGAAGGTACCCCTCTCTTCGGGAAAGCCCCGGGGGTGGGTTGGGGTTTAGAGGGTTAGGGGTTCAGCGATTTAGGGGTTTGGGGTTGATAGTTCCGCGTTGAGATCTGCAAGCTGTAGTGGCATCCTGAGGATGATAGCAACTGTTACCGTGGATGGAGGAAGTCTTGCACCACTTAAGATCATCCCCACACTGTAATTACTGGGGTATAATGTATAAGGTGGTGCAAGATTTCCTCCATCCACAGTAGTGCCAAGGTAAAGGGAACTCAAACTCGGAATCCTTTCAAGTTCTTTTCTTTGGCTTATAAGTTCTTTAGACCCCGCTACTTCAACGTCTTGATACTGTGGCTACTAAAAATCCTGCATGGCCCTAAGCACTTTGTAGCTTGGGAGTTATGTCGTTACAGTATGCCAAAGCCATCCCGGATTGTTAGTCTCAGCAGTAGTGCTTATCAGGTGTGTGCCTTCTTGATCCTCTGCATACTTTCTAGTGGGTTCTCAAGCTTGGAGCCTCTGTTATGCACCTCAACGGGACTCGTCGCCACTACGGGAACCCCCAAAAGGGGGACCCTTACATGATCCTTGGGGTTGCAACAGGACTTCCAAAGTGAAGGTGATCTTCAGCTCCCCGGCCAACAAGCCGTTCTCCTTCCGAGGATCCCTCTTATGTCGCATTGTGTTGAGGGCACTTATCGGAAAAACTCTGATCACTGTTGCCGATTTTCTCACCGCTGACCCTGGCCTGGTCATGACGTCTGAGGCTCAAGAGTACGGCTCTGGTCTCGTTCCTGGCACGATGGTCCAGCTGCCTGGTTGCCACAGCAGCCCCTAACACCTAAACCCTCTCTGGGTTAGTCGAGCTTTCCCATGGATTGCAGAACCTTAAGCCGTAGTCTGGAACGGGCGCAGTTCATTTCAGGAACCA